ATATATATATATATATATATATATATATATATATATATATATATATATATATATATATATATATATATATATATATATATAAATTACTTTCTCCACCAGAAATCTATAGAGAAAATACTGTGACAAATGAATTGCTCTGTTAAAAATAATTTAGGAAATATTTAGAAAATAATACAAATTTAGGGCTAATAATTTTGTCTTTGTCTATAGGCCTATAAACTCTATACTATAAGATACTAATATATAAAGCTTGCATCCACATGCCAGACATGATTTTTTGATATATGACAGATGTTTAGTTTTGAGGTTAAACACTTAGGCCAGGGGTGTCCAAACTTGGTCTTGGAGGGCTGATGTCCTGCAGATTTTATCTCCAACTTGCCTCAACACACCTGCAAGGATGTTTCTAGAAAGCCCAGTAAGAGCTTGATTAGATAGTCCAGGTGTGTCTGATTGGGCTTGGAGCTAAACTTTGCAGGACACCAGACCTCCAGGACCGAGTTTGGACATTCCTGACTTAAGCTGCAGTCACACTAGAGCAGGGGTCACCAATCTCGGTCCAGGAGGGCCGGTGTCCCTGCAGGATTTAACTCCAACTTGCCTCAACACACCTGCCTGGATGTTTCTAGTATAGACCTTGATAAGCTTGTTCAGGTGTGTTTGATTAGGATTGGAGCAAAACTCTCCAGTATACCGGCCCTCCAGGATTGAGTTTGGACACCCCTTATTTAGAGCAAGGGTGCCCAGACTTGGTCCTGGAGGTCTGGTGTCCTGCAAAACTTAGCTCCAACACCGATCAGACACACCTGGGCTAGCTAATTAAGCTCTTACCAGGTTTTCTAGAAACATTTTTGCAGGTGTGTTGAGGCAAGTTAGAGCTTAAATCTGCAGGACACCGGCCCTCCAGGAACGACTTTGGACACCCCTGCTAGAGCCTATGGTTGAAACTACAATTAGTGGTGGGCAAAGCGAGGCTTCGTGAAACACTGAAACTATCGAAGCAAATGTGTCGAAGCTTCGAAACGTTTCGAAACACCACTCTACGGCGACACCTAGTGGTCATTTTAATTGTATTTCACTGAAACAGCTTCAGCACAGAACAGTTGAGCAATTATAGGGTATGAAATCCCACTTTGTAGCCATAAATTTGTAAGTGGTTTAGACGAGTGGTTAGAGTCCGTGACCTCCATGCGGGAATAATGGGTTCGAATCCAAACTGAAATAATTATTTTGAAATGCTTTAATAGCAGTTGGTAATGCTTTGTTATTGTATCGTTTTGTTTCAACATTGCTCTGACATACGAATAAACACATTGTAAATAAATTTGTATTGTTTTGTTCATAAAACAGGGTTGTTGCTAGATCAGATACAGTCGTGGCCAAAAGTTAACAATAATTACTTATATTATTAATTAAATTTCCCATTGTATTTTATTAACGTCTATCCAAAACCTAAACCCATCACAGTACTGTAAAAATATGAATTATTGTTTTACAGTGTTACAAAAATGATGCTAAATTGATGGCATATCCGTAGCTGTATCCTATCTAGACTACACCATAAAACAGTAACATGATTAAAATATATTAAATCATGATTTTGTAGTATTTGGACTAGTCGGGATTCGAACCCAAAACAAAATTGTAACACTGTACTGTTGTGCACACGCACAGTCTACTATGCCATACAAGACACTTGTTCATTAGAGATCATGCCAGTCAAATGCAGATTCTCCGGGTCTTGAAACGCCTCTGAAATGATCGATGCTTTGAATCGCTTTAGTCACGTGACCAAGTGTTTCGAAACACTTTAGTCACGTGACCTGGGTGTTTCGGATCATGCTTCGGTGCAGTGTTTCGAAACACTTGCGCTTCGGGATCTCGACACTGTGTCGAAACGTCAGTTTCACGTCAGCCATCCTTAACTACAATTTGATAAGTTCAAACCAATGAGAACTACAGACGTCCACTATATGTGGAACAATTCTGCATATTTTTCAAATGAACAAGACGTGAACTAATCTCTTAAACAGCATATGACAACATCTCAGGTGATTTCCCTGCTGAAAAATCCAGCTTAAACCAGCCTAGGATGGTTGGCTGGTTTCAGCTAGTCGACCAGCCTGGTTTTAGAGGGGTTTTTGCCACTTCCAGTCTGGTTTCCAGCCAGGTCTTAGCTGGTCAGGCTGGAAAGTCACCAGCTAAAACCATCTAAAAACAGCTTGACCATCCTGGTTAAAGCTGGACATAGCTGGTTTTGGCTGGGCTCCCAGCCTGCTAGGCTGGTCAAGCTGGCTTTAGCTGGTCATCTCCCAGCCTGTCCAGCTAAGACCAGGCTGGAAATAGCTGGAAACCAGCCTGGAAGTGGCCAAAACCCTTCTAAAACCAGGCTGGTCAACCAGCTAAAACCAGCCAACCATCCTAGTCTGGTTTAAGCTGGATTTTTCAGCAGGGTTAGCATCGACAAATATGTAAAACATGGATAGCTGTTACTAAAAGTTAACTTGTTCATTGTTTGTTTTGTCATTGTGAATTTCTATCATCTATGATTTAAAAAAACAAGTGTCTCGCTGAGATATGCGAGTCCATTTCCCAGCATTGATCTGGCAGGGTGATGTTTTGCTGGCCATGAGCTCAGTGTGTGACAGCAAAACCCCTGCCTTCAGTCTTCACTGAAAACTTCACTGTAGCAAATACAAGAGATATCTACAGAGTAAAAGCACATC